TGGGAGTATAAGGTGAATTAATTAATTAATTAATTATTTATTTATTTATTTGGAAAAAAAAGGAAACAATGTAGCAATCACCTTTGTGATCACTGTATAACTTAAGAAAGCACCAGAGACAGGATTGAAGCCATGAGAACTGCTCCCTCTCCAGAGGTGCTATGCTCTTGCCTGGGTGCTGTGCATCCCTAGGGTCTCTGTCCCTAGGCTTCTATGGGTGGTGTCCACAGGACTGGGAGCATTATTTCACAGGTTTTTACCTTCACCCCAGAGGCATGGTATGGGCATATCCTTCTAGAAGTAGCTCTTTTCCCTGGGACTCCAGTTCACTTGTTTTCTCCTTAATATAATGTCTCATTTTGTATGTATGTGAAAATTTATGGTTTCACTGTTGATGGCCACTTACAGGGCTTTTGATTTTGCTATTACAAACAGTGCTAATCTGGACATTCTTGGGGACTTCTTAGCCTCATATATACAGGTACATCTTTACAGTATATACTGAGGAGTGGAATTTCTAAATCACAAATAATGTACCACTTCATCTTCACTAGATTTGATGCATTGATCTTCAGTGTAAATGTACCAGCTGGTTCTCCTTAATGGACAGTTTGTAATAGATACTGTACTATAGAGCAAATACCTGGCATGTACCAACTTGCATACTAAAAAAGGCATTTTGGAGAAAAATCAAGTAGTTCATAGTTCAAACTAAAACAGGTGACTTTCATCTATTTTTGATACAACATGAAGAGGCCCCTCCTGTTTTGTAGGTTATGAATTGGTACAGTCTTTCTGGGTGACAGTTTGTTAATAGCAACCCAATATAAAACTACATTGACTTTTGGAGGTTTTGTTGTTTAGTTTTGAGACAGGCTCTGTCTTCATAGCCCAAGCTGGCCTGAAACTCACTGTCCTCTTGCCTCAGCCTCCTGTATATTGGGATTACAGGCATGTACCACCACATCTGGCTGAAAATGGAGTGAGCCACAAAAGGAAGTTATTGACCATCATAGGTAATAAGAGCACATAAAAAACTAGGGTCTGGGGAGATGGTTCAATGGGTAAAGTACTTCCTATACAAGCATGAGGACCTGAGTTTGGATCCCCAGCACCCATGTAAAAGCCAGGCAAGGTGGCCTGTACCTGGTCACTCATAGACAAGTGGAGCCCAAGTGCTTGCTGCCCAGCCATCCTAATTGAAACAGTAAGCTCCAGGTTCAGTGAGAGACCCTGTCTCAAACAGTAGGGTAGAAGGTGATAAGAGGAAGGCATCCGATGTTCACCTCTGACCGCTACAGATGCACCCAGGTGAGCACACCTACACAAATGGAATTGGGCGCATACACCACACACACACACAAAGAAAAAAAACCTAAATGCCTATCATTGGCAACAGGTTAAGTAAATGAGACACAGGCATATAAGCGTCCACTGAATAAAAGGTGACTGTGCTAATAAAGGGTAGCTCAGTGGTAGAGCTTAAGATGCACAAAGGGCCTGTTCTAGTTTGCCTTCAATTGTGGTGACAGAATACTCCAACCAGTACCAACTTGGGGCAGAAAGGGTTTATTTGGCTTTCAAGCATAGTCCATCATCAAGGGAAGCCAAGGTAGGAGTTCAGGGCAGGAACCTAGCACACAGACCATAGAGGATAGCTGCCCACTGACTTGCTCTCCTGTCCCATGCTCAGCCAGCTTTCTTATACAATACAGTACAAGACAACCTGCCCAGGGATGGTACTGCCCACAGTGGGCTGGGCCCTTCCACATTATTCAACAATCAAGAAAGTGCCTCACAGACATGGACACAGGCCAGTTCAATGGAGGAAATTCCCCAATTGAGGTGCCCTCAACCCAGGTGTGCCAAGTTGACACTAAAGCACAAGGCCTTTATTCAATCCCCAACATGATGGTTAGATGAAATATAGATTTCTTATGTCTTTTTGAGGAAGATCTTACGGTTGTATAGATGTGCCTGGAAGTCACCATCCTCCTGTCTCGGGCTCCCAAGTCCTGCATCACCATGTTTGACTCTTAAAATTTACCATTTTCTGCTAGGCGTGGTGGCACATGCCTTTAATCCCAGCACTCCAGAGGCAGAGACAGGCGGATCTCTGTGAGTTCAAGGCCAGCCTGGTCTACATAGTGAGTTCCA